TATTGGTTTGTATATTCTGAGTATGTCGGCTGTCTCCTGCTATGGGCTTGTAGTGGGCAGAGGCCAGGGGTGCTGCTAAATATCTTCCAATGTATAAAGCAACCTCACAGCAAAGGTTTATTTGGCCAAAATGTCAATCGTACCAAGAAACTTCATAAGCCACTTTTGACATGTTCAGTCAGTCACAGTGCCCTGGCTGGTGTGGCTCAGTGGATTGAAGGCCAGCCTGTAAACCAAAAGGTTGCCTGTTCAATTCCCAGTCAGAGTACATGTCTGGGTTGCAGGCCAGGTCCCACGTTGGGGGCACACAAGAGGCAACCAACTGATGTTTGTCTTGCACATCAATGTTTCCCTGCCCTTTTCCCTCCCTTCCCCGCTCTCTGAAAATAAATAAAATCATTTTTTTAAAAGGCTCTATTTAATGAAGTTTTATAATGGGTATCAGTAACAATGGCATATACTGTTACTAATGATAAACATTTATTGAGAGCCTACTATTTCCTTTGAATACAAGAAGGAATAAAACCTCCGCCTCAAAGAGACTTTAAATAAGTTTGAAACTCAGCATATAAACCGAGCAAGATAACTAACACCATAAGACACCATCCACTAAACCAAATGTAAACCACGGGCATGGTTTGACGATGAAATGTCAAAGGTAAACAATGGGTTCCACAGGCAGCCTATGTGTCCGACGGCTTTCCCTTCTCTGTTCCACCTGAGTTCCAGCTACACCTCCGTCAGCACCTGCACTGCTCTGGGGCTGTACTGAGCTTGTGCACTTCCACGGGTCCTCTGTCCCCTCCACTGGTGTGGAAGCTCTTCCAGACAGGAACCATCTCAACTTTTTTTTTTATCCTTGAACTCTACAACCTGGCCGGGTACCTGGCACTAATAACATTAAATAAATATTTAATTGGCTTAACAATGACTATGGAATGTGAGCTGAGCAGTTAAGGAAGGGCAAGACTTAGATAAGAAAAGGGTTGAAGGTTGGGCTTTCCAAGAATGTGCAAGGGAACCAACAGGGTGATTAAAAGTTCCAGGCATGTAAAGGAACCCTGTGGTCACAGCCACACCCACCTCCAGCCCACGCATGAAATAATCCATCAACCCCCTGCGGGTCTCTCACCTGTCCAGAGGGCCAGGTTTTCAGAGCTGGTCTTCACTCACCCAGCCTTTTAAATTGTAACACAAGCTTACCCTTAATAGCCCTAAAACTTTGCTGCTTTAATCTCGATATCATTTCCTACATTCTTATGTCCTGGTCTATTTTTCTCATGTCCCTTTTTCTGCTGATTAACTTAGTAAGAGAGGGAGGCATAAGCAAACAAACCAAAAAACTCCTAATTTAACACTGACTTGATACTTTATACAAACACAAAATTTGGGGGTGCCAGTCAATAAAAATAGCCTTGGCACCCAGAATTCCCCCACCAAAGTGAAAATTCCTCAAAACCAGGGAACGAGTTTCAGCTTCCACAGCTCCTACTACCACCACGCACCACACAAATTAACAAGGTCAGCATCCATCTACCCGGGTAGCTGAGTCCGTCCTGCAGACTTAGACGGCTCTGGTTCAAGTCAGATCAGGTCTCACTCCACAACCAAAACGAAGTGGACAGGACATGAACAGATGATTTATTTTTTAATTAAAAAAATTTTTTTATTAAAAAAATTTTATTGATTGATTTGAGAGTGAGAGAAATAAACACTGACATGCTGTTCCAGTTATTTTGCATTCATTGGTTGAATCCTGTATGTGCCCTGACTGGAATCAAATTTATGACCTCAGCATATGCAGCCTTGGCATATGAGGATGACGCTCCTAACCAACTATGCTACCTGGACAGGGTAACATGAGCAGATGATTTAAACAAGAAATAAAACACTCATCCTCCACTCCTTGATTCCCCCTAAATTGGAAAGAAAAATTCTTTCTTTTCTTACTCTACCATGAGTAAGTGAAACTTTGTATCTGACTAATGGTACTAATTGCCAGAGCTCCGTATTTGCTGGACAGGCAGGGACTCACTATTTAGCAATCAACTCTCAACACACTCATTTGGGAGGTGCCTCTGGAAGACCCTAAGTCATCACTCATTTCCTATACTCTATCTGAAGTGCTGTGCTCTACTTGTTCTCATTAAATAAGACTCATTACATTGAACATCTATAAGAGGATGTCAGACTAAGAAAAGGCTCTGGAAACTAAAGCCACAGACTTTTTTCCTCCGTGTGGCCACAAGTACACACACAAGCTTCCCCCAGGAGTCAACAGAACAGGTAAGTGGAAGAATCAGAAAAAATAATCATAACAGCGGTTTTCACTCACATAGTAGAATGCTCAACAGATATTTCAGTTTTTGCAGACAATAAACTACTTGACACAGGAACATCCAAAGCCAAAGAAGTTCTCAGAAGTGCATTCAATTCAGAAATTATGAAGGTACATGTGTGATGTGAAGTCATTTACTGGGGGGGAAATCAGTGTCTTTAAGAGGCATATGAAGAACAATTTGGGTAATCTGAGGTATATGTTTTATCATTTTTTTTAGCATATCGCAGGCCAATAAAAGTCACTCTTTAATGCAACAGGAGCAAACACTGATCAAGGACTGTGCTCCTGAACTGCCCTCCAGATCGGGCCCTCCCTTTCTCTGCCCCACTCTGTGCCCGGGGAGGGACCCCTGCAGACCCAGCCACCCTGGGGCGGGAGGGTGGACGGGGAGAAGGGCTGAGGTTCTCCATCTGCTCCCCAACCCGTCCTGGCAGGGGCTGGGTGCAGCTCTCCCCGGGCAGTGACAACAGGACTTCCTTCCCTTTCCCCTCTGGCTCCCAGGTCTTGGTACCTGATCATCCTTCCTCAGTTTCCCTAGTGCTGCCCACACCCCTCTAAGTAATTCATTCATGTTTCTCCACAGCAACCCGTTGAGTTGAATTTTGTTTCCGGCTGAATTTTTGTTTCCTGCCAGGACCCTGTGTGATACAAGGACTTTCCTCACATAGGAAATTTTACATCTACATAAAATTTCTCACCTCCCAAATACAGATCTTATTGCATCTCTCACTTTACACACGAGGATGCTGAGGCTTTAAGATGTGTTTGCACAGGAAGTTTGCTGATGGAGCAGGAATTACACCCAGGTCGGCCTGACATTAAAGATCATTAAAAAGCCCTTGAAAGTGTGAAGAAGACATCACACTTGCAAACCCTCAAGCCACCATATATCCTCAAATCACACTGTTTATGATTTGGGATGTTTCCCTGAGTCTAAAATAAGCTAGCTGGGGCACTGCCCTATGAGAGCTTCTGTCACCAAGCCATTCAGACTGGACCCTGCTGGAGGGAGGAGGGGCTGTCCTAAGATCCAAGAGATCGCAGGTGCTCCTTCCTTGCCCATTGCCCACATTTTCCCTTCAATCACCCCAGAAATCCTTAAACATCTGTTAAACATCCATTAAACACCTATAAGGCCCATATATATATATATATATATATATATATATAAAAATTATTATATATATATATATATAAAAAAATATATATATATATATTTTTTAACAACAGGGTTTCTTGACAGAAACCTAGGACATTTGGACATGGGGGTAGATGCAGTTAAAAAGCACTTGATAATATCATACTGGCACCTCCCAGTCATAACTCGCCAGGTTCCATTAACAAGTCTCTTTCCACACACTAGGCCTCACTGGATTCCTCTCTGCACCTGTGCAGAATAGCTTAAAACAGAAAATGCAATTAAAATAAATTCTGATGGGGTGGCGGGGGGCAGGTAAGTACAAAATGAACTCCCCTTAAGGAAATTCAGCTATCAGTTCTATTCATTTCAGGGCTAAAGACTGCTGTTATTTCTGCCTTTGCCTAGGTCACTAGGTCCCTCCACCCTCACTACACACCGAGGAGTAATTTACAACAGCACGAGGTAGGATTCCATACCTCTCCCATGTTCTAAACTCACTTGGATGTTGCAACTGATAAGAAAGCAATGGTGAGATCAGGTAAGGTTCTGAATCAGGTCTTCAGAGGAAACCAGGTGGAAGGTGGGTCAATAAATAGTATCTGAGTAAGGCAACTGGCCGGCTCTCACTTCCTCATAGCTGAAAGAATGTGAGTGGAAAGGCGGCAGGTGTGCTCTTGTTGGAAAAAAATATCACTAGTGAAAGGCAGAGGAAGAACCCCGGCCAAATGCTCAACAAAACAGGCAGGAGTGCAGTGGGCCTCCTCCAGCAGCCCCACCCGGTTCCATTTAAATCCACAAACACTTGTTGACTCAATACTAAGCCCACGGTGGATCTAGCCTGTAATGCCTAAAGCAGACAAGAAAATGAGTAAGGCAACCACAACCCTCAGGAAGATTTCCTACCAGGAATTGCGGTTCTTCATTGCCATTTTCAATTTTCATGGTCACAGACGATGTAAGAAAGTCCGAATAACTTCAGCAGCGCCCTCTCTTCTCCCACTAACCTGTCCAACTCGGGAGCCCTGGGGAAGCCAGTGTCCTGTGTCCTTCCTCCCTGTCGGATGGACATCACATACGGTACAAAATAACTGTCATCCTGATTTGACAAGTCTAACTGCTGACGTTTAAAACGCAGGTCCCTCATTCAAAATTAATTTAGAGGCTACAGCCTCTAAATTAACCAAGTGTAATTTTTATGAAGAATCATCTACACTAAGAATAATGACTTCACTGGTGGGAGAAACAACTAATTCACCTATCAAAAGACTTCAGGACTTGGTAACAGGAAACAAGGCAACTCAAAACTTTTTTATAAGTTCTTTCGGAACTGTCGTGCACAGTACATCAATGTTTTTCACACTTACAGGAGAAAAACAAACTCAAAAAAAGTGCCCACCTGTCTGGTTTGTAGCTGTGAAGTCTGCTATGCGGCGCGGACAGAGGGGGATAATATTACCCGCACAGACTCCACGCCTGCACCGGCTCGGGGAGGGGTCTGGCGCCCCGCGCCGCACTCACCTGGTCCAGCGGGATGCCCAGGAGCTGGCTGAGCGGGTGCAGGCAGGTGGAGCCTGTGGTGCGGTAGGAGAGGCTGGACGGCAGCTCGGCTGCCATCCCGCATCTTCGGGAGGCGGCTGCCCCAGCCCCGGCGCGCGCCACACCACTCCGAGCCCTCCCGCGCACTGCTCCTGGGTGGCCGCCCGAGGGGCCAGCGACCTCCTCGCTCGCGGGGATCTAGCAGCGAGGCCGAGGGACTCACTCGGACGCCAACTCCCGCGGCGCAAACTTAGCGTTGGCGCCACTGCCAGGGCGCCGTAGGAGGGCCGCGCCGAGCACGCCGCTTCCCGCTCCCGCCTCTCGGCGCTCATTGGCCCGGCATCGGACCGCCCGGGCGGAGGGAGGGATGCAGGGAAAGTGGGGACGCGGAGCCGGGACCAGAGCGCCGCCCCGCCCGGCCCAGCCCAGCCCAGCCGGACCCGAGCCCCGGGGAGTGGAAAAGCGATTCCCGCAGGCGCGCTGCTGGCGCTCAGCCCGGACCGCGGGAGGCTCCTCTCCTCCTCGGAGCTCGCGGTCCCCTCGCTCCGCAACACGTCATGACCTCCACCCACAGCACCCAGGCGCCGCCTTTGAGGCTAAACCCCCGCCCCTCCCTATTTACAAAGTCACCCTGCTCCCTGTTTTGTCTCCCACTAGGATTTCCTGCGCTTTCCTTTCGAGCTTTCTCCCTCGCAGTCCTTACTGCAGAGGGTTAACGCGCCAGTGGCTGGAGCCCAAGGAGAACCCCACGCAGCGAGCCAGGGCCCAGCCCCCAGACGCGCCCTCTTTCTTGAGTTTCATCACCAACAAACTGCACTGAACTTTAAATGGCCCGACCGGAGTTTCTCAACCTATGTCCCCTATCGAGGGGCAAAAGCAGCCCCTACCACCACCCCTTGTCACCGTGGAGATTTTACAGGGGGCCACCACCACCAGATGACAGTCTCACCGCACACACAGACACACACAGGCATATGCTTGAAAATTAATTATACTACACAGGCTCTTTAGACACCACCGAGTGTAGAAACTGACCAGAACTGAAGCACCGTTCCTCTTATCTTGAGCAAGATAACAGCTTGAGCCGAGTGTTTGAGGAAGCAGTGGCTTGAAAGCACTGTTTTAAAAAAATCAGCACAGATGTAAATTGCCACATAAGAAAAGTCCTACTGATACTGTAGTACAAGTAATATTAAAAGAACTATTAGATGACACAGTACCAAGAGAACAGATAAGTTACACTGTAGATTATTGAAATAGGCTCCTGAAGAACTGGATATGATCCGAAGATTCTTAAGAGCTGTACCATGAACACAGGGCTGTCTTTTCCTTCCCCTTCATCCCTGTTTCCATCCTCATTCAATTGCAGATTCAGCATCATAATTATATGCTAGATACAACTTCGTTAGCGTTGTTTCATGTACCAGTGACAATCACCCATGTGGTCGTTATAACCTCTCCAGCTAAGAAACCTGGAGCTGGTAGAGTTGAGAAACGGGTTTATTTAGGGAGGCTCAGTAAAATACATTTGCCTGATCCCGGCGCCTGGGCTCTGAGTCATTATGATGCTTTGCCTCCTCTAAAACAAAGCGCTGCTCTCTTTATCAAGAGGCCCACCCACATACCTGACAGGGGCCTGTCATTGCAGTGGACAGGCACTGTGTTTACCGTTCAAAATGAGGGGGCAGCAGGATGCCAGAGGCACTCGGTCTCAGCCGTTTTCTATCTGCAGTAGAATGCAACTTGATATCAAAGTCAGGTCTTTAGTCTCCCTTCCGGGAGATTAAACCACGGTCAGAAGGTGAAGTCATCCAGAAGACTCAACGCTCATCCTGACTGGTCTAAAATTAAAGGCCAGGCAAAAAGACCTGAAAAAGCTTCTGGCTTGTTTCAGGAAGGCAGCTTGACACTATGGACTGATAAACCCTCAACACCAGTCACATGCCAGACCAGGCCCTAAACAGCAAGACTGAATTAAAGCAGTCCTCAAAGTTTCCAAAGGTAGAACCTCTCAAAATGATAACATTGTAATGATATGGTCCGTCTAGATGCAACCAAAAATAATCACTACAAAACCATCAACAATGATATGACCCATGTAAAAATGGAATTGCCATTTTAATAATACCAAATGTGTATGTGTTGAAACTATATACTCACAGAGTGTATTCATTTATACCATCCTGCTGATTCTGCCAACAACTCTATGAGGTTGGAAGGGCAGGTGTCATCATTTTATCATGCCATCATTCTCTCCAGTTAAAAAAATGTTTCTGTACTTTTAGAGAGGGGAAGGCAGGGGGAAAGAGAGGGAAAGAAACATCAATGTGTGGTTGCCTCTGGCACATCCCCCACTGGATACCTGGGCTGCAACAGCTAGTAAACAGCAAAAGTAGGATTCAAATTTGGCTATTCCATTTTTGTTTGTATTATACAGAAATCTTTTTATTATGCTAGGACTCCACCTCCAGGAAAACTGCAGAAATTGTTATCTATATAGGATATTAAACTCCATGCTTAACATCTGAGAGCTGATCTGCAGAATGTTCTAAACTGGCCCACAGTAGGTATCACTCTTGATTTTTAAGCAGTGTCTTTAAGCATTATCCACAGAACCTTAGGGAACATAGATTTTGCAGTCAGTGCTCAGTTTTTTAACATTTTAGCTCGACCACTTTGCATTTGCTTGGAACATATATTGCCACCTACCTGCATAACATTTTTTAAGGTTGAGATCACAGTTAACATTGTTTTTATATTTGTACATGTTCTGAAAATGAAGAAATATAACTGAACACCAGCCAGATTTAGTTATTACAGCTGAGTAATAGCATGTTTTCCTAAGAATATCCATCACTTGGTCATTCAAGATAAATCAACACAAATCAGCTCAGCATCCTAACTTACGTACATACATCAAGGAGATGCTGATATGTCTAAAGACAAGAGAATCAAAGATAATATACCAACCTCTGAAAGAAACCAGTTATGAGAAATGCAAAGCAGAAGTCAGTCACTGATAACTGAATGCAGAAATGAAGTGTGCTAACAAAACTCCTTTAACTAAAAATACTCAGAACAATATATATAAATACGATTGTGTACAACTTCTAAACGTGAGGACCAGGGCCTAAAACCTAGAAGAGGAACAGATAATGAAAATACAAAGAACCCAGCCATCAGAGCAAAACAAAAGGATCTGAAAGTTAATACTGCCTTTTACTGACTGGTATTGTGACTCTGAGTAAATCAATTAACTTCCTCAAATCTCAATTTTCTCCTCTATAAAGTGGGAATAAGGATTATGACTTCTTGGGGCTGGTATAAGAACTGAAGGAAAGGTTGTATATAAATAACCTATCACAAAGTAATTGTTCAAAATATATTAACAGCACAGCTAAAGCCTACTTTTTAGGAACTAACATTTTATTTTATTTTTTGACCCTCACCCAAGGATATGTTTATTGATTTTAAAGAGAGAGAAAGTGGGGAGAGAGAGAGAGAGACATCAATCACTTGCCTCCCGTTCATGCCCTGACTAGGGATCGAACCTGCAACCGAGATAATGTGCCTTGACAGGGGATCCAAACTGCAACCTTTCCTTGTTTGGGGATGATGCGCCAACCAACTGAGCCACCCAGCCAGGGCTAGCTTTATGTTTAACTTTGGTCTTTTGGGAAGTAGATCTTCCTAAAATATATCTCCACATCCTTAAGTGGAGTTAGTGCTCATAACTGAACTTCTAGTGATGAGATGGACATTATTGCAAACAAGGACCATCCTGCAATAATGATGCCCTGGAGTCCACTGACTGTCAAGAGTCTGTCCTTGCAGTGAACTACACCCAAAGAGGTAAGCTTTCTCAATTACCGCATCCACTTTCTAGTTTTCAGTCTTTTGCCCTCATATTTCAGTTGTCACTGTCTTGCCTCCTACTTTTGTTCTCCTGGGATCTGGGGAACTCTATAGATTGCCGTAGAATCACTGGACTTTGAAAGCTGAGTGCCTCACGAGTTCTTAAAGTGAAGTACTTCAATTTTAAGTAAATGCTATGCTATCTTCAATATTCAGAGGCTTTTTTTTTCTTTACTTCCTGCTTCTTTGGCTGTGTTCCAAATACATAGTTACCCTTGCCAAAGAAATGTCCCATATAATAAAGTGTGATTGAAGATAATATTGGAGAATACAGAGATAGGCAAAATCCCATCTGCATAAGCATAAGCTGCCAGGACTTTCTGGTTGGCTGTGGTGGGAAGCTGGTGTTGAGAGAGAGAGAGAGAGAGAGATAGGGTCTAGCTTGATACCCCTGGAGCCTCAGGTATCCTGAGATGCTTGACCCCTACCCTCTCCACCCTCCACTCCTACTGTGCCATGAGGATTATTGCTGAGGCCACTGTCGTCTTCAGCTTCTGGGAGCGAGATAGCAATAACCCTTTACTCCAGACCATATATTCATTTTGGAGGCTACTTGGAATGTCCCTCAACTCTTGTATTTTTAACCTTACTCCTCACCCTCTGTTCTGCACCCTGGCCCAGTGAAAGTGCCAAGCACAACAGTATTTCAGAATGAATCGGTGGATGGTTTCCTGGCAAACAGCACAGCCAATAGGACGCGTGACTGTCTCTTCTTTTCTCACTGAAATCCTCATGATCCAGACTGTTGTTCTGAGCCCGCGTGGCCTTCAGTCAGCACATTGCACTGGGGAGCCCCAAATGCTGAGTATACAGTCTGTGACTTACAGGACCAAAGTAGGTACGTATTTGCCCATTGCCTGAGTTCTTGTCCTATATTCCTAATGCGCCATTTCTGGAACATAGCAGGTACTGTCAGTTGTCAGTCTCCAAGAAAAGGGCATCACCCTTAGTTGACCACAAGGCATTTTTCTAACTTTTTATTGGATTTATTGGGGTGACACTGGTTAATACAATTATATAGGTTTCAAGTGTACAATTCTATAACACATCCTCTGTGTATTGTACTGTGTGTTCACCACCCCAGTCAGGTGTCCTTCCATCACCATTTGATCACAAGGCATTTTTTGCATACATAGTGTGCATCCTTTACAATTAGCATTCCCCAGATTCACTTGGGGGAACAGTGTCTTTGCTCGTGAAGGTTGACTCGACTTTCAGCAAATACGTATTGAAGAGCTATTATTTATAAAGCATTCTTCCAAGTGCTTGGGAGACACATCAACTTCAAACAGACAAAAATCCCTCCCCTGCTGGAGCTTACACACTAATAGAAGGAATAAAAAAAAGTCATATTAATATGTCAAAGATAAGTGCATAGAACAGAAGGAAGGTGCAGCGAGGTTAAAAGGTGAATGGGGGCAGGTTACCTGTGTTGTAGTGTTTAATAGGGTGGTCAGGAGAGGCCTCATTGAGGTCACACGTGAACAAAGACCTGAAGAAAACTAAGAAGTTAATGGAGCAGA